ATTCTGTACTTAGAAAGCAAAGGACCTTTACAAAAAAATCACTAACTACCATGCTCATTTGACTATGTTGTTTGTTAAACTTATGTTATGTTGTATAGTTGAGTATGTGTGTGTGAATATTTTATTCAGATAGACCTATACTTTAAAAATGTCATTCAGATATTTTCTAATTTATGTCGCTAAGCAAAGATGCCTCAGTTTTCTCCTGTATAATTAAAGAATAAATAGAACAAGACAGTGAACAAACCAATTGATAATAAAATTAATTTAATAAATAGATAAACATGCCTAGCAAATAGGGAGCATTCAGTAAATATTAACTTTTTCCTTTTCTTCTCTGCCAGTGGAAGAAGAGACCTGAATGTTCGACTCATTGATTCCCATAGAAGTCTTCATTACTAAAGGACAAAATGTATTTCTTAGAGACTCTTTAGTAGATGTCCAAGTTATACACTAAAAACATACCATATATGACTTTGTAAAAATATTCATGTTGTTATCAACCAAGATAGCCATATTTTATTGTGTTTCATGGACAAGATGGTTTTTGTGCTCCATCTGTTGTTGGCTACTCACTCTATAAAGGGACAAGTTTCCTAAGAGAATGTAATGTTCTAGATTGGAGGTGAAATGTTGGAGAAAAAGATGGAGATTCAGGGACCAGCAGTTGGTGTAATGGCTATGTCGCTGGACTCCCATGCAGTCGACCTGCGGTTTGAGTCCTGGACCCAGTGGCTTAAACTCATGCCGGGTGCATGTGACCATCCCCCCTAGGGGGGTGATTTCTCACTTTCTGTTCCTGTCTTTCTGGCGAGCGCACGTGCCCTATAGATAGCAAAAACCTTCCAAAAAAAAAGAAAAGGAAAGATGGAGATGTTAAAGCAGATTCTTCCATTTTGTGATGATGTTCTAAAGAAAGGTCACAATGTTTATTATTTTTATATGTTGATATATCTTTGTCTTGTTGTATAATAGGTACAGTGTATCAGAAGTATGAGCCAATCTTTTTCCAGTCCATCGGAAATCCATTTATTTTTAGATGCCTGGATGGAGTATTTATTGATGGAAATGATAAAGGAATATCAAAAGTTGTGTACAGGTAAGCGATGCCCATGTTCAAACTTAATTATAGGAGACATAGCCACACTTAACCACAGCGATTATGCCCAGCAGTATTTGCACTGTAAGTTAAAACCTATTTAAGTAGATGTTATGTACAACTCACTTTCCCTATTGATAAGACAAAGTTATTTTTTGAGAATAATTGCATTTGTTTAGTTCTAGGGATAATTTTGCATTTTTAATTCTATTTTATTATATGGAAGAGTAATCTCTTAGCTAATGCTTTCTCACCTGTTTCAGATCTTGCAATGGGCGAGATCGACTTGGCCCTTTACAAATGAGTGATAGTACATGGCTCACGTCAGAAATTCATAACCCACTGGCTGTAGGACAGTATGTTAACAATTGTTCAAATGGTAAGCTGGCATCATGGTGCTATTGGACAAGATATAGCAGTAGTTTACACTCTTCCTTTGCCATATGACAGTGCCACAGGTAGTTGGGTTTAACATCTTAGCTATTAAAGTTCTTAAGCAACTGTGACTGTTTTTCTTTATTTATGATAGAGCACATACACATATGTGAGATTGCAAGAAAAAATAGAATAAGATATAAGCATCCTCCATAGGATCTGGTCTTTCCTCCAGGCCTCCAGTCCATCAGATCTTGGGTACTTGCATGCATGCTTAGTGTTTTTCAAGCCAATTGAGTTGGGGATTTGAACCATGGTTACCATTTGGGATTTGGCTTTTTTTTTTTTTTTTTTTTTTTTTTTTTTTTTTTAGTTTTTTTCCCATAGGGTGCTTATACTTTCCCAGAGAGAGTCAGAGAGACACAGAGCATGGGAAAGTGAGAAATCACCCCCCCACCCCATCCTGGAGGGATGGCCATGCTGCAGTCCCTTGTCCTCCATTCTCCTCTCAGGTTTTGGGTATGCACACACAAGCACCCCCTGTGATTTTCAAGCTACTGGAGCCAGGGCTCAAACCATGGTCAGCTATGTGGGAGTCCAGTGCCTTAATCACCATGCCAAAATTTTTATTTTGCTAGCCCCCCAAATAAACCGAGGCACAGAGAGATCTACTAACTTGCCCAGGGCCACACAGCAAGTAATTTCTGGGGCTGAGACTTGAACCTAGACAGCCTGACACTAGGGCCCCCATCTTTAATCACTCTGCTATGAAGTCCCAAAGGACTTTGGCTTCTTTTGTTTTGTTTTGTTTTTGTTTTTGTTTTTTGGAGAGGTTTTTGCTATAGGGCATGTGCGCTCACCAGAAAGACAGAGAGACAGAGAGACAGAAAGCGAGAAATCACCCCCCAGGGGAGATGGCTATGCTGCAATCCCTTCTCCTCCATTCTCCTTTCAGGATCTTGGGCACTCACGCATACGCACCTGGTGTGAGTTTAAGCCACCTGATCTGGGACTTGAACCATGGTCAACTGCATGGGAGTCCAGTGACATAGCCATTTCATGATCTGCTAGTCCTGTCTTTGACTTCTTTTGAGCAGTGCATTACCAGTGTGCTATTGGGTAACCCAGCAACTATAACTTTTTGAAAGAATTTGGAAAATAATATACATTATTTGGAATATTTATTTATTTATTTTTTTGATAATCAAATTAGGAATATTACCATAGGGGGCAGAGATGGCATGGTAGTTAAGGCACTGTACTCCCTCATGGCAGACCACAATTTAAGTCCTGGACCTGGCAACTTGCTTTCTCACTTTCCCTTTCTCTCTCTCTCCCTCCCTCTCACTGGTCAATTTAAGAAATAATAATCATAAATGAAATGTAATAATTCTTTTAAGAAAAGAATATTACCATGTACATCATTTCCAATAGATAATTTTACATTCTTGAGCCTGTTAAGTGTTTCTTCCCTTTACCCCTTCTACCCACTCTCTATCATCCACTCCCTTCCCTTACAGACTCTGATATCTACACTTATCCTTCCTATTTTCGTATCTTTACATCTTTCAATTTCTGCCATGGACTGCAGATATTCCATATATATTGAGCAGGGATATTTAGTATTTGTCTTTCAAAGTCTGGCTTACTTTGCCTAGCAGTAAGTTTTCCTTTTTCAACCACTTTGAGTCAAATGAATGTCTCATTGTTCCTTATAACTAAAAAGTACTCCATAATGTATATGTGCCTCAATTTTTCAACCCAGTCATCTGTTCTTGGACACTGAGGTTAATTCTGTGTCTTTGCAATTGTGAATAATACTGCAATAAACATGGAAGTTCAAGTGTCCTTCTGACTCAGTACTTTTCTATCCTTTGGGTAAAATACTACAGAGTGAGATTACTGGGTCATATGATAATTCTATTTGTTGTTTTTTGAGGAATCTCTAGATTGTTTTCCATAGTGGCTGTACCAATTTATATCCCTACCAAGAGGATTCCTTTTTTGCTACATGGAATCTTTATTATTTTTTGTTCTGATTTTTGCAGTGAATACAGATAACCGATAACAGCTGCCTTTTTGATCATTATTATTTTAGAATTTTTTAATAGTTAACTCAAGTTATTTTGTTAGTACCTCAATATAGCCTTATTGATTAATCACTAGACTGGCATACTCTTCTATTACTAAGTGTGAGAGTCACTTACCATCTTTTTTTTGAGAGAGAGATTTTTGCGATAGGATGCGTGCACTTGCTGGAGAAATAGAAAGATAGAAACTGAGAAATCACCCCCCAGGGGGGATGGCCACGCCACAGTCCCTTCTCCATTCTCCTTTTGGAATTTTGGGGACGCATGCATACGCGCATGGCGTTTTAAGTCACTGGGTCCAGGACTTGATCTGTGGTTGATTATGTGGGAGTCCAGCAATGTAACCATTTTGCCATCTGCTGGTCCTATCACTTACCTTCTTAGGACTTGATTTTTGCATAAGTTAAAGGTTAATCATCTGGATACATTTAGCATAGGCTTTGGTATTAGGGAGTTATAAACTCAAAGCCTGACTCTTGTATTTAACCTTTAATCTTTCTGATCCTCTGTTTCCTAGTATATAAAAAGAAAACAGTGGGGACCAGCAGGTGGCTTGGTGGTTAAAGGCACTGGAATCCCACATGGCCGACCATGGTTCCAGTCCTGGACGTGGTGGCTCGCTTTCTTACTTTTTCTCTCTCTCTTTCTATCTCACTCTGTCCTTATCTGGTCAAAATTTAAAATAAATAATAAAGTTAAATAAAATAATTCTTTAAAAAAAAGGTAAAGAGTAGGAACAACAGATGGCATAATGGTTACATTGCTGGACTTCCATGTAGTCAACCATGGTTTGAATCCCATTTAATCCCAGAGACTTAAAACTCACACCGAGTATGTATGATGTGTGCCCCAAATCCTGAGAGCAGAATGGAGGAGAAGGGATTGTGGCATGGCCGTCCCCCAGGGGGTGATTTCTCACTTTCTGTCTCTTTCTCTTCAGCTAGTGCATATGCCCTATAGCAAAAATCTGTCTAAAAAACTAAAAACAAAAAAAGTAAACAGTAAAACACATATATATGTTTATTATATATAATCGAAACATAAATGTTTATTTTATATGTATTCTATGTATAAAAATATAAGACTATATATAAAAACATGTTTTATTATTTACTTCTTGAATATTCTATTCAATATTTATAAAATATGTATATACAAAATATAAAATCTAACAGTGCCTGAAACATAAGAATTATTACTTTGTTAATGCTCTAGTAATATAGAAAACCATATATGAAGTGTCATAATTCAATACTGTTTTTCATGACCTTGTACCATGACTGTTTTTCTAAAAATTATGTGTTCTTGTTTCAAGACAGGGCAGCTAATGTCTGTTATCAGGAATTTGATGTGCCTACTGTTTTCCCTATAGAACTGAAACAGTATCTGCCAAACATTGCCTACAGTTATGACAAACAAAGGTGAGTCTTCCAAAAGAACATTTCCTATTTTCTGTCTTACGCTATATTTACAAATATATATATTTGTCTTTTTTTTTTTTTTTTTAAATTTTTGCCAGAGGACACGTGCACTCTGTAGAGAAAGAAAGAGAGGAGAAAAGTGAGAAAGCACCCACATAGGAAATGGTTGCAAGGCAGTCCCTTCTCCTTTCAAGACTTTGAGCATGCACACACATGCGCCAGCTATCTTTTTTTTTTTTTTAAGGTTTTCACTATAGGGCGCGTGTGCTCGTCAGAGAGAGAGACAGAGAGACAGAAAGCGAGAAATCACCTTTTTTTCACGCCACAATCCCTTCTCCTCCATTCTCCTCTTGGGATCTTGGGCACGCACGCACACGCGCCCGGCGTGAGTTTTAAGCCACCGGGTCCAGGATGCAAACCGCAGTTGACTACGTGGGAGTCCAGCGACATAGCTATTACGCTAACTGCTGGTTCCCCCGCCAGCTTTTTCAAGCCGCTGGGTCTGGGCTTGAACCATATAGTCAGCATTGTGGGATCCAGCTACCGTAACCACTATAACACAGGCTGGCAGCCCCCCCAAAAAATCTTAAGAAAATGCTTATAAGGGGCCGGCATGGTGGTTAAGGGTACTGGATTCCCACATGGCCAACCATGGTTCGAGTCCTGGACCTGGCGACTTGCTTTCTCACTTTCCCTCTCTCTCCCTCTCTCTCTCCCTCTAATTCTGCCAATCTCTGGTCAAATTCAAATAAATTTTAAAATTTAGATAAAATAATTCTTTTTTTTTAAAAAAAATGCTTATAAAAATTGGAAATTAGTGAAAAATTTTAAGTTCACTATGACTTTTATGTTTGCATCTTTTTTTCTTTATTCATGATTGAGTGCATGCACACACATGGGAAAGTGAGAGAGATGAACACCCTCCACAGGCTCTGGGCATATTGTGATCCTCTTACTTTAGTCCTCAAGCCCTTTGAATCTTAGGCACCCTGTTTCAGGCTGCCCAGCCAGGGAACTTACCAAATTAACATTTAAGATAAATGATACTTAAAACTTGGTATATTTTTTGGTCTCTGTATGTGTGTTTAACAGTTAGATTTTCTTTCCTTTTTTTTAAGAACTATTTTATTTAACTTTATTTATTTATTTTAATTTGACCAGAGAGGGACAGAGTAAGAGAGAGAAAGAGAGAGAAGGAAAGTGAGAAGGCAAGCCACCAGGTCCAGGTCTTAAACCATGGTCAGCCATGTGGGAGTCCAGTGCCCTTAACCACACACCACCTGTTGGCCCCAACAATTAAGTTTTCTTAGGTATATACTTTGGGGAATGATGTTTTCAGAGTTGTTAAGATATAATAGTATCGGGACCAGCAGTTAGTGTAATGGCTATGTCGCTGGACTCCCTAGTAGTCTACCATGGTTTAGGTCCTGGACCCGGTGGCTTAAACTCATGACGGGCATGTGTGCGTGTGTGCCCAAGATCCCTAGAGGAGAATGGAGGAGAAGGGATTGCAGTGTGGCCATCCCCCATGGGGGGTGATTTCTCGCTTTGTGTCTCTCTGTCTCTCTCTGTCTTTCTGGTGAGCGCACGCGCCCTATAGCAAAAAGCCTCTAAAAAAAAGAAAAAAAGATATAATAGTATCTTGTGTCCAAAGTATATTTTTAAAATTCCAGTTCATTTTAAGTAATATTCTCATCTTTCAGAATACAAGATACAAACTAATAAAAGAATGTTAAACTATACTTTTTTAAAAGAATTATTTTAATTTTACTTTATTATTATTTGTTTTAATTTGACCAGAGAGAGACAGAGAGAGAGAGTGAAAAAGAAAACTGCCAGGTCCGAGACTCATGGGGTCAGCCATGTGGGACTCCACTGTCTTTAACCACCACACCACCTGCCTTTCTAAATCCCTTTTGTGATCCCAGTTTTGGGGGCCTAAACAAAGTTTTGGAGGAGGCTGTCAGTCATATAAACCTATTGAGTTGTGGTCTTTAAATGACATAAAGCACATACACTCTACCTTAGAATACCTATATCAGGAATAAAACTATTTCCTCTTAGAAATTGAATATGTAAATGAAAATGTAGGCAATCTAAGTAGAGTGTAAGTCTCATCTATAAAACCTATGTTGGTTACTTTAAAAATATAAACTTTTGGGGACCAGCAGATGGCGTAATGGTTACATCGCTGGACTCCCACATAGTCAACTGCAGTTCAAGTCCCTGACCTGGCAGATTAAAACTCCCACTGGGCACATGTGCATGCAGGCACAAAATCCTGAGAATGAAGGAGGGACTGTGTTGTGGCCATCCTCCCCGGGGGAGGGGGGGGGGGCATTTCTCACTTTCTGTCTCCCTAATGAGCACACACACCCTATAGCAAAAATCTCACTTAAAAAAAAAAAAAACATATATATAAACTTGTATCCGTTAATACCTTTTTCTCTTTATTTTCAGCCCACTTCGATGTGTCGTTCTTGTTGCACTTAGGGACATCAAACAAGGAGAAGAGCTTTTTTCAAATTACTATACAATTGTCAGCTAACTCTGAATTAGAAATTAGGTTTCCTACTCAGCTAATGAGTTAATTCTGAGTATTTTTGTTAATTATTTCTCTGAGGTTCCACCTGTAGAACAAATATTTTGAGACATAATTGGAGTAGGAACTTGTTTATATTGATATTTATATTCCTATTTCATGATAAAAGCTATTTGCTTCATTACAATTTTAAATTTGTAATGCAATTCCAATTTTTAATTGGTTTTCACCTGAATACACAATAGCTTATTAAATTAATTCTACCACTTCAAAAAATAATTGAAATGATGTTCTTTTGTTTATTTTGTATATTTGTGGTAGTTTATATAAAATTTTAGCCAAGTATCAGCAAGCCTTATAGTGCTGTTGATATGCACAAACTTCTGTAAAAGCTTTTTTTTTATTCTACAACATAGAAATATTATATTGCCATGAGTAAATGGGTGTGTGCACATATAAAGATTGTTCTAGCTGAGTAGGAGAGAAATGTGAGGTCATTATACTATTTACTCTGAAATTCCTATATCAAGAAATGATTAAAGAGAAGCCCAAGCAGTTGTTTTAGCATGGGAATATAGTTAACGTTAGCATTGGTGGTAGGAATGCCTGGTTCTCACATTCCCATGTGGAGGGCTTCCATTACAAATGCTTCTAGCCTTTCTGCTACCCATTGAAGGATAGTGACTTTTTGAGTATCTTTGAAGAACTGGGCACCTGTGGCCCATACCTTTCTAGTTGCATCTCTGTGGACTCCTTCCCAGTAGAAAGAGTATGTCCTGGGCTGTTCTCGCCATTGAGCAGGAATAAGCTTAGTTCAGAGGTAGGTATTGGCAAGCCAGCCTGGCCGTGGCTCTGAAGCCAACTTCCACAGTTTTATTAGTAAACTTACTTTGATCTCCATCCACCTTGACTTCTCAAATTTGTGTAGAGTATTGTTTATTGGGCCCCTTAAATCCTTATGGATCCTGTACAACCAGATTCTGGCCACCTTCACTGCCGTGCCACTAACTTATACACCTGGCTAACTGCCATTTCAATAGCCTCCTGATCACTTTCCCTGTTTCTGCTTGTGCTCCCCTTACAGAATATATCTCCACGAGTGATTCCTTTAAATGCAACCCAGGTATTGACACACCCCTGCTCAGAACTCTCCGTCTATCATGAAAAAAAATTCCTAGTCCCTCACTCATGATCCAGCTGCTCATTACTTCAGATCTCATCTCCTGCTTTTCCCATTCCACCCCAGCCACACCAGTCTCCTGGCCATCCCCTGAACCTGCCAGGCATACTACCCACTCAGGTCTTCTGCACTTGTTCTGCCTGCTAAGATCTTTCTCCTGATAGCTACACAGCTGTTCCTTTCTGTCACCTCGGTAAGGAGCACTGCCTAACAGCCCTGTTGAAATTTACAATTCCTAACTCCTACTCCTGACAGTCCCATTCCACTTCCAGGTTTTTCTCTATAGCATTTAACACCAACAGGGTCAGAAAACATTCTATTGATGGAAATTATGGCCAAAATGACTTCTAGTGGTCTAGAAGTCAATAGAGACTATTCTATTTTGACAAGGCTTCTCCTCCTTCCCCTAAGGCCTAAAGAACTGTGACGCTGTCATGTGACACTTGGCTGAGCTCTTGGCTGTGCTTAAAATATGTGTTCCCCTCCAAAGGGGCTCCTGTGCACGTGTCCACCATGGAAGCCTACACGTTGAGGCCCTTTGGTGTTGAGCACAGAGGTACAGGTTTTAGACAAGTAACCAGAACAGAGGAGCCAAAGTCTTTACTTTCAGTTCATCCCCTTTTCTGGCCTTATACAAATCTGGACATTATGCCTGCTGCAATCTGATCACTGCAATGTAAGGATGGAACTTTGGAACACTCTGGTCAGGGCAAATAAAATATGGGAACAAACATAAGAAATAGGCTAAGATATAGGCTAAAATACAGTCTGTCAAGTAATATCTGATCGAATTTCGGACAGCATATCTTCCTAAAAGACAATTGCTTAGAACAGTATTTGAAACACAACAGTTATTCAATAATTGTTTCCTGAATTAAACTAAAAATATAATCCTTACTGAGAGAGAGTTAGAATTTTACTGTAGGTGAAAACTATTAATAGAGGATTTGAAGAAACTCATCTACCAAACTTACTACTTACCTATTATATATCTTATCTATTATATTTACAACCAATTTGACAGTGGCACAGTATCTACTTATGAGCTGTCACTCAAGAGTTGTTAAATAGGGTCAGCTCTATAGCACAGCGGTAACGCACAGATAAACCAGATCCCATGTACAAGTCCCTGGCCCAGTTAGTCTGACACATGCCACAGTGTGCCAGTGTCCAAGACCCAAACAAGCTGGAGGACTGGAGGAAGGAACTGTAACGTGACCAGATCCAGTGGAGGGTATTAATTTCTCTCCCTCTCACTGTCCTTTTTTTGTAGAGATTTTTGCTATAGGGTGTGTGCGCTTACCCGAGAGACAGAAAGAAAAAAGTGAGAAATACTCCCCATGCCCCCGGGGGATAGCCACGCCACAACCCCTTCTCCATTATCCTCCAATGTGAGTCTGAAGCTGCCAGGTCCAGGACCATGGTTGGTCGGTCATGTGGGAGTCCAGCCACGTAACCATTATGTCACCTGCTGGTCCCTCTTTCTCACTCCCATGTATGTACACGTGAGCTCTATCATGAATAAATAAAAATAAAAGTCATTAAATTAATAAAACAATTTTTGGCAAATACTCACACAAACCAAGAAAAAAAAGATTTCCAGATTTTTATTTCTGGAACTGTACACCAGGTATTAAAGTACAACAAATACAAAATAATGCTCAAAAAAATCAGTGTTTATGTACAAATATTAAAATCAATGCAACAATAGCAACTTCCTCTTGAACATCTGATACTAAAACTTGTTCTGATTGTCACTAATTTCTCTCATACTCGCAGGGTACTTATTTCAAACTGGGACAATTGGAATCACTGGTCATCTCAGAGGAATATTAATATCTACCATATTTAACAATAAAACTAAGTTTCCTCCTTTTAGTGAAAAAATTAGGAACTTTTTAAAAAACATAGTAATGTCAATATTTTTATAAATTATTTCAATTTCCATTTGTAGACAATGTGCTTTGAAACTCTGGGCAAACAATCTCCTTGGTGGTCAGGTTTACTTGTTAGTTTACATTCAAAGTTGAAATATTCACTAGAGACTTTGGTTAAATTAAATAGTATCACTACACTCTATTAGATTGACGTTATTCATGACCCTCAATTTTAAAAATTAAAAAAGAAACGATTGCACAATTCTTTGACCTAATTGTACAGACTTTAGTATTTTTAAAACAGTATTCTACATCCTTCAAGTAAATTCAGCAGTTGACCATGACAAGAGGAAAACTAAACACTTAAAAAGCTAGCATGAAAAAGATAAAGTACGACTAACAAAAGAAAAGTATTGCTATAATCACAGCACCAGTTACACTTCTAAATGAATCCACTGTCCTCTGCAAATTCCCTGTACAAAAAAGATGCCAGCCAACACTGCAACTGCTCACCATGAATTTTTGGTTTGTTCATACAAAAACAATGTGACAAAAGAAAAAAAAAAAGAATTTATCACAGTTTGTTATAAGAATTGTGCTTAACACTTGATAATAAAGGCATTATTGTTTCTTCATATGGTTTCGAATCAGTTATTTTCATGCTTTCAATTGCAATTCTTTTAATAAACAGTAACAAATTCTCTGTTAAAATGTTTAAATGGAGCGGAAAAAACAACAGTAAATCCAGCCTTGAAAAGAAAATTCAATAAATAGCTATTTTACATGGATAAAGTCATAGTGGTACAATTTATGAATGTCTCATCAAGCATGCACAAAAATGGTATTATACATGGCAGAAGTAGTCAGAAAATATTGAATTAGATCTAAAAAGATAGGAAGAATTTACACATATATACAAAAATCTTGCAAATTATTGCCTCATTTTAACAAGGAATTAAAAGTAAACGTTACCAGCTAGTTAGCACTCTCTAAGAGGCTAAAATCAGATTGGCATTTAAAAAAATCTATTAAACTAGCTGGAATTTCTTTTTCTCTCATACCATTTTCTGGATTTTGGTCAAAAACCTTTATTTAAATAACTAAAGTGTCCATTCAACTTGCTGATAATCAAAACTTAGATAAGAAACACTGTTTCCATCTTATATCAAGACCCCAGCAATGCATAGATAAACCGAATATATTACTGCATCGGCTACTGAGAATGGGTATATTCACTTAAGTGCAACTGGTGTCAGCATTCAGTCATCTTCATGTGAATTATTTATACAGACCAGCCACTGTAAACCCAGAGTGAAAATTAAAGTTGTAACAATGGAAGAGTTTGGCCAGTATCTCACTGAATCACAGAAAGCATATTGATTTATAACAAAAGAAATAAGGTTCAAAGTTTAGCACAACACAGCAATAAGAAGCTGACAACTTGAATAAAAATATCAGAAAGCAACACAGAGCCCAGGCTACCCATTATTTACTGTGTGCATACAGGAATGCTAGACTTTAGATGTATAAATTAGAGACTGATTTTAAGTTATTAATTTAACTACTTTTGTCCACTGCACTAAACTAAATTTTATAGTAAATGTGCTATTGCGTAAACACTTCAAAGCAATCTTCATTAAAATGCTGCAAAGAAAAACAAGAATACACATCATCCAAAACTAAGGATGTCATTGCAGTTCACAGTTTGTATAATAAATACCCTCCCTTTCGATCACTAAGATCACTACATCCTATCTACTCATCAGCATAACCTTGAAGCGACTTATGCTTACAAATAATAGCAATGCAGCAAAACATTTAAGTTTTTTTGCGAAGCAACACAACTAGTAAAAATCAAAAATTTTAAGATGGTGCAAAATAAAAGTAATTGTTTTAACTGTACTATGAAAGCAAAGCTTATTACATCCTAATACTGTACTACATATTGTCTGATTCACCTTATAACTTCAAGATGCATGTCTATAAAGCAAAAGTGGCCAAAGTTCATGACAATGGCTTCTCATTCACAATGGAATAAAAATAAAACTGAGTCTGAGATGTATCTGAATGTGTATTACTTTTTAAAACTTAAGAGTGGTAACGTACCATTCTATTTCAGAAAAGAAATCATATTCTTGCCAACTGTTCAAGGTAAACAAAAAAGCTTAAATATACTTCAAGGTTCTACTGCATTATGAATAAAATCTAGAAATCCTTCTAAATATTAACACTTTGAACTGCAGTGCTACAAACAACTAAAAGAGGTGTCCCAAAATGTAAACCATTGAGTGGCCACATCCTGGGCTTTGTAGACTGTGCCTCTGCACGTCAGCTGCCTCAGGATAAACTACATTACCAATGACCAGTATGATTTTTAAGATTATAACCTTGACGATGGTGGGTGAAACCCCATCTTAATACCACACCTTCAAATACCAAATTTTTAGCCAATAAATGACATTAAACAAAAATCTCCCGACAATAAAATGGCCAATTCTGTGAAAGGTAGCCTTGGTCTAGAATTTCCAAACAGAATCCACACATGCGTCTTCATAATTTGCACACAGTTCCTCATGCTGGCTTCCACTAAAGATGGACTTGCTGCTTTGTAAACTGAAGTGCTCTAGTTGAATAACATGAGAGAAGTTTCCATTTTTAAAAAATCCTTGCATGTTTGTGCAGTTTAAAGAAACCTACCCCTGCTTTTATTAATTAAGAAAATAAAACCAAAAAAATGCTACATTGAGCAGGGATCGGGATCGGTACCTGTAAACATTTGTTATTCCACTGCATCCATTACGGCAAAAGGAATTTACACGAAAAGAAGCCACGCCATTCAGTTC